TTGACTCCCCACTGTTGTGGAAGCTGGGCAACCCTGACCTGGTCACTCTTACAGCCTATCTACCTGACAGGATTGTTGTGAGAATGGAAAGGAGGATGCTGTAAACTGTTCTGGATCCCCAGTGGAGAGAAAAACAGTTTATAAATATCTAAATAAGTAAGACTTGCATGCTGTGGTATGTTTTTATCATGTTTACTTTGTCATTCACCTTGAGCGCTCTCCAAAGAAGCAGCAAAGAAGTTTCCTAAATAAATGGATGTGTGTGGGGAGAGGTTTTTTTGGATATGTCTCTTTTCAGCATCTCTGTTCTTCCTGCAGACTCCCTGCGCAACCAGTGTGACTTTCTGGAGAGGAGCCGCCTCAAGATGCTCCGGAGCCAAGATGGCAAGAAGCCCCCGACTATGGAGGCACTCCTGTCTTCCATGGCAGGCCAGGTGGTGGTGAGAAGTTCACTTCTGTGCATCTCCAATCCCTGCGACTGAACTGGTGCCAGGATCTGACTACTGTAAACTATGGACTACTGGGGCATCCAGGCTGGCAGGCCTGTGATCAGAGGGGAGGCTGACTGGGAAGCTGGCTGAAGTGCAGAAGAAAGAGAGACCTGGATCTAGAAATGCAGACGGAAAAATAAGCGGGGCCTTCCTTTCTCCCTTTCTCCCATTCCTTGCCCATCCATCCTGTCTGGGACTGGAAAGCACACAGCCAGCTTGAGATTGACTGGGCATGTTAAATTTGGGAGCCAGCTGTTCTAGATCAACAACAAACGCCCTCCCACCCGCTCCTGTACCAAATCTTGGCCCTCCTTCAACCATTGCCAGCAAGCAAGGCCTGTCCCAAGAACCACCTTCCTGGCTCCCAGACCAGCTCACCAAGCCATCCTTGGGGAGCGGCAAACTCTTTCTCAACATCAAACTTCATACGTGCCATGGACATAGGGTTGGCAACCACAGGTGGTGGGGCCCAGTGATCTCCCAGAACCATAACTGATTTCCATTGAGAAAAATGGCTGCTTTGGAGGGTGGACTGTATGGCAGCATACCCTGCTAAGGTCCCTTTCCTCCCCAAACCCTGCCCTTCCCAGGCCCCACCTCCAAATCTCCAGGAATTTCCCGGTCCAGATTTGGCAACCCTACCTGAGACACAATTTGTAGGGACCTTGGGTCAGAAGGATTGGAGTTTATTAAGCCTCTACTAAAAGGGCAGGGCATTTGTCGTTCTTCTTGTTTCTAACATTTGTATACTGTCTCTCCAAAGGTCCTGTTCTTTTAGTAGAGGCTTAATAGGATGCTATATACCAAGTGTGTGATTTATCTCCGTGCCCTGAAAAGCTTCAGCTGCCCATTTTCACCCATGAAACCTCTAAATTAAGAGGACATTTTCCTCCAGGCCTTTTGGCAACCTTAAGAAGGATCCAGGAGCTGGTTGTGTTTTCCTTTAGCGGAACTGTCTGCTACACACTTTCACCAGTTGCCTACTAACTTGGACTTCTGCAAGTGCACCACTGGGTTGCCAGCTCCAGATTGGGAAATACCTGGAGATTTTGAGGGTGGGTTTTGGGGAGGGGAGGGCTTCAGTGGGGTATAATGCCCTAGAGCCCACCATACCAAGTGGCCATTTTCTCCTGTCTCTGTTGCCTGGAGATCAGTTGTAATCCCAGGAGATCTCCAGCCACCACCTGGAGGTTGGCAACCTTAAATAGAGCCGCTTTCCCCTGTTCTGTGGCTGTAGAACTGTGGTGGTTTGTCATGCAGGCGCTGTGGCCCAGCCAGGGATTTGCCTCCTGGTCTGTAGACAGCCGCTTTCTCCTTGCCTGCCCAGACCTGCAAAAATAATCAGGTTGTCACTATTGTCTATACAAGCCTTCCAGAGTGGGTCTCTTTCTTGAACCAGCCAAGAAGAAGAACCAGGACCACACTCCCTGTTTGTGATTCAGCCCTTCACCTCTTTGGCTCTGCCTTGAAGAAAATGATCTAGTACCCTGGGACACTTCCATCCTTCCCCCCCATGGGCACAATGGTTTCTTGGGGCACTGCCTCTGAGCCCTGCCCCACTGATGGGCCTTGTCTTTTCTGCTCAGGGAAAAAGCACCGGGAAGGCTGGAGTAAGTGCGGCAAGTGGCACAGATGAGGATGGCTCGCCCCGTAAGTTGACTGGAGCTGCCAAGGCCAGAATGGAGGCCAGCAGGAAGGACAAGCATCGCTGAGAAGGGTCGAAACATGGCCAGAGGGAGCTGGGAGGGGTCTGTGGGGCACAAATGCTGGGCTGCCGGAGCTCACCACCATTCTGCTCCTGTGCTTGAATAAAAGCATCTTTAGTTACAAGGGTGTTCAGACCTGCCATCTTCCTTGGGATGCTGGGGAAAAGCACTTTGGAGCTGAGAGCTGATTGCAGCTGCCTTGTCTATTGAACCCATTTTGCATTCAGAGCTGGAGCCCTTCTGTTTTTAAAGCTGATGTCACCAGGGAGGCTTCTGATTGGAAGCTCTGAAAGGAAGCTGCAGCAGAAAGTGGATTTGCCAGAACACAGTGAAAAGAAGCTCCCAGCAAACAGCACTGTGTGTGTGTGTGTGTATAGCACTGATGGGCAGTTGCAAGGCCTGTACAGGCTTGTGCATTCCCTCCTCCCGCTGATGCATGCCCGCTGAGCCAGTTTGGTAGCCCTTTCTCTTCGGAAAAATAGTCAGAGGAACCTAGTGAAGGTGGTGGGGGCTTGCATTTCCAGTGCCTTAGAAGTCAAGCGGTGGGGAGAGCAGAAAACACAAGGATTAAGATGCAACAAAAGCAGAAATCCTGCTGGTCATTTCCTTTCTGTACAAAATCAGGCAGAGGTGCTAATTTATGGTGTCCTAAGAGAAAGGCTCTGATCAGACTGAATATGAGAGGCCTGTTAAAATGGAAATTAACCCCCAAGAGATACTGTAATGTTAGCCGTGTCAGGGCTGTCTATCTTGGTTTTCATGGAATGAGAAAACAGCACAAGTGGGAAGACTGTAATGTCCTGGCCACTTTAAAAGATTGGGTGCAAGCTTTTGGGCTATGCAGAGCTCTTCAGCATATCTAGATACATCTGTAAAATTGACAGGAACCCTGGCTTAGCATGGTTGTGTGTCTCATAATGCAACAAAACAACTGATGCACTAGGGCTGCATTTCCATTTTTAAACTAGATTTTCTCTGCATACTATGGTGTTACGCCAAAGAAAATGGGTTGTCACTCCAAAGGGATGCAAGGGTGAGGATTTATTTGTCTGCTTCTTAATAGGGTCCCCTTTTCCCCTTCTTAAAAAACACAACCCTTTAATGACTACAAGTTAATGTGGCAAACATTGCACAGTTGTGCACAGTGCAGCCAACCCCCTCCCAGGCAAGCTGCTACCCAATTTGAAACATGGGCCCGAATGGCTGTGGGACATCCCAAAGGCACACAGGAAGGGACTGCCAAAGCACATTGGCTCAAGTCCTCAGTCCATCCACATCTGTACAGCAAGCAGTTGCTGTGGGGAAGTAAACTGCACTGTGCTGCACCACAATTTGAATCAGGATTATATCTTCTGCCCCAGTTGCCAGACGTCTTCTAATCAGGTCTTGGTGATCAGGGACATATTGCCATTAAGTCCAGCGTATTTTTAAAAATCTCACTTTTAATTTTTTAGTAGCATGTAGTCCTACGTGCACATAATATTTTGCATATGGATTGGAAGAGTGATTGGTCAGAAGGTATACAATGTATTGTCCCCCACAGTTTAGATTTTTACTTATGATGTTTAGATGTTTACTTATGATGAACAGAGGGGATTACGCAAATTGTACCTGCCTTATCTGCTGGCTTTACAACGATATGCATATTATTTTGTAATAATTCATGTAAAGGATTTTTGCCACGTTATAACAAACTATACTTCTGTACCTTCCATCATGTAATTCCAGTACAGAATCAAAGCTTGTTTTGCTGCTGTCCTTACTTCAAGTTGCATTGGCTAATGATGAGGACTCACAGGCAAGGATAGTGAGTTCCTGAGAATGGAAGGTGCACTTCCCAGGTTCAGAAGCAAAGCCTGGTTTGAATCTCAGGTCCTTTGTACATATGTAGAGTGCTTTCATCATAGACTAGGCCATCCAGATGCATTTGTGCTTAGAAGCTGAGCTTCTAGATGAGGTCTGGCCTCCGGCACCAGAACTCTCTTTGCTAGGTTTGCATTATTTTTCCCCTCACAATTGAATGTTTTAAGGGCTATAATCAGTGAGAGAAACTGAGGTGGTTAAAGCAGCTATGGTTCTATTTTGCTGCTGGTTATAGGATCCTGGAAAAAGAACCTGGAGTATTTGTGCAGGTGGTGGAAAGGGAAGGAAATACCTCTGCAATTGGAATTAGTAGATTGTAATAAAACTCTCAGGTTACCACCAATATCTTGTTTCTGTTGCAGGCTACCATATACAATTACAGTAATATACACTGTAACCATAAACAACAGCATGTTATCACATGCATTACATATAAACAAGGACTTCTAAAATAACCAAAATACCTCTTGCTAAAGTAGGGTGGTGTTTTGGTTGTTCCAACTCCCTACAACTTGGTCCTCTCTTTGCAGGCTGCGGTCTTATGCCCATTTTACTCAGTAGGGAAAAAATACGCAAAAGAAATTTACGTCTTTCCGGTCAAAGAATAAATACTAAAAAAATACGACACGGCTCCCTTAAGAGCTGTCAAGGGACACCACGCTGGACCCTTTGGCCCACCCCTTTCCCCTGAAATGGGCGGAGTTTCTCCGTTTGACAGGCAGGTAACTTTCCGCTCGGCCCCACGTGGTCTTACAAGCAGCCTGCCGCAAGCCTCAATGAGGCCCAGCCCCTCGCCCTCGATTGGCCGGGAGCCTTCTCCCGTCCCCGCCCCCTTTGAAGTGGTTGGCTGGAGGCGCGAGAGTGCCACGCCCCCTGGCGGCTTGACTCTGGCTGGGCTGTCCGGACTTGCGAGCTTCGCCGGTTAGTCGCAGCTCCGAGGCCGGTAGTTGGTGCTATCTATGTAGTGAAGGGGGGGTAACCCGGCAGGCCGGTGAAAATGATCCTCTGCCCCCAGAGCACGGAGCATCCCCGGGGCAAACAGTGCCAGAGGCTGCAGGTAAGCTCGATCTGCTGCGAAAGCACCGGGTGCTGCCAGCAAAAGAGACCCCCGGGCAAGGCAGGGACTCAGTCGCTCCTCTCCCCGGCTTCCTACCCTGCCACGGCCCTTTGCACGGAAGAAAGCCGCGCCACGGAAGAAGCTGAATGGCGTTTGCTTCCCAGTGAACAAGCATCGGGTCTGGCAGCACGCCCCCTTCGCTTCTCCAGTCCTGCCAAAGGGCTGAAGGGAGCCCCCTCCCCGCACGGCCACCATGAGCGCTTGCAAGTCCTGCAGTTGTAGCTGGTGGTTCTCCTTTCCAAATCCCTGCGTGAATGGAAGGGGATTCTTTATCCCTCTGACTGCTGTGGGGGTGCTGCACGGTTCCGTCCCTCCCCCTTTGCTTTGCAGCTCCGGAGAAGCTGCAGGGGCGGGGAGGCTGCGGTAGCTCCACCGGCCCTGAGGGAAACTTTGGGGGTGCAGCCGGGGGGCGTGCACGCGCGGCTACAAGAGCTGTGTGGGCCGGCTCCGGAACGTTGCCTGTGCGCGCTCGCCCTCCGCTCCCTTTGTCCTGTCCGAGGCGGCAGCAACAGCGGGGATGCGGGATGCTCCAGCCTCCTCCTCCTCCTCCTCCCCGCGCTGCCAATCAAAGTTGTTTTTCTCTCTTTCCTCCTGCGCTTTGGCGGTTGCGCGGCTAGGGGGCGCTGCGGCTCGCCTGCTGCAGCTGGGGGGGGGGCGCGGGGAGACAATGGACCGGCACCGGCCTGGCTCGCTCGCCGCATTATTGGGCCAGCTGCTGCTTCTGCATGGAAGAGGGGGCGTGGTTTTCCCCTTCTTCCTCTCGCCATCGTTTGTATTTTTTCTTTTTCTCCGGATTTCTCCCGGGACGGGACTACAAGCTCCCCCCCCACCACACACACAAAGTCTAGGGACCTTCGAGCATTCTTTCCCAGCTTTGTTGGATGCAAGGGGGATATCCTGTCTCCCACTGGATGGTGTCTTTGTCCTGTGCTCCCCCTCCCAGAGCACCAGGCTGAAGTAGCAGCATAGAATGGGCCTGGCACCTCACCTCAAATAAGTGGATCTCTGGATCCATTTTGCAAAGCCCAGTTAGGATACCTGTCTATAGGGTAGAGAACAAATTGGAACCAGGCTGCCCAGGGATGCCTGCTCATTAAAAAAAAAAGTGTCCACCTTGTCTCCAGTCTGCACCTGGTTTTTGAAGATTCTAAACCTTTCAAGAAGACTGGTCATTCCAGAATTGATGTCCCTTTTAGGAGATGGAATTATCAAGGTGGGGAAAGTGACTGTTTACTTCCCAGGCCTGTCTTTTTTAAAGGTTGTACCATATTGAGATGAAGAAACTTGCTCAGAACTGCAACAGGCAGTTTGCTGGTGGTGAGTGTTCGCTGGAGTCAAGGGGGGGGGGGCAGAGTCCCTTATAGATCTCCTAGCAAAGAACTTTGGCACAGCAGGTGTTGCTGCACAGCTGGAATCTCAGGGGATTCCTCCTGGCTGGTATTGGGAGACCAGGTGAGGGTCTCTAAGGTAGCTGAACTAAGCGTGTGTTTGTTCACAGCTCAGGAATGTTGCTTTAAGGCCCTGTGGAGTCCTAAGGAGTGGAAGGGGGGAGGAGACTGCTTTGATAAGTGGAAGGGGGTGATTTCCCACCATCTTCTCCCTCTTTAAGGAGCCCCAGCTACAGCCAATGAGCAACATTTGTTCCAATAGGAGATTTTGTGAGCCGGAGCTCACTTCTTCAGATACATGAAGAGGAAATAGTTCTGGAAATTCTTCTAGGAAGAACTTCTTAAAGGAGAAGGGGGAAGGGAGAAGGCGTTGAGGCAGGTGGCACTCTTGCCTCAGCCCCCTGCAGGCTGAGGCGGGAGAGGGCTTGGCTATCACCAGCAGCTGCCTAACCTGGATAAGCAAGGAGAGCAGGTGTCTGTCAGTGCCGGCAGTGTACTGGGGGTGTGGATGAGAGCTGTGCCGTCTCCTTGGCGCAGGCTTTTTCCCGGATCCAGGTCTGTGCGAGAGGCAGAGAGCCCTCTTAGCTGCCCTGTACAGCTGCCTTCTGCTTGTACCTGCTGGAGCATACAATTCATTTGGCATGGGCTTGGCATTTCCAGACAGCTGACACTGGGGCTGGGCCAGCAAAACTGGTTATGGGGCTTAGAGGGGGCCCTGGAGTGCTTGGTGGGGCTTGGACCCTGCCCTGGAAACTTCTAAGTGGGGAGCAGGGTGGTGCCCATTCAGCTTGAGAAGACTGGCCGCAAGGATGATGGGCGGGGAGGGGGGAGCAGGCACCTGGAAATGACCCCTGGGCTTTGAGGCACAGGGGCTTTTGTTTCTCCTTCTATCAAATGCCTACTCTGAGTAAGTAGCATGGTGCTTTGCTTGAAGTTGCACACTGCAGGTATTTCTCCTGGTAGTGCATACGGAGCCTGGCAGCCTGTGAAACGTAGCTTCCATTAAAAAAAAAAAAGTGAGGTAAGAACTTGCTCCAGATAGTACAAATAAAGCTCTGGTAGGTGAAGTTGTCTATTGAGGGAGAACCTAGTCGAGATTCTAGGGAGTGACTGGCAAGGGAGCTCCAGGGCTGCGTGTTACCCTTTTCCTCTCCTTAATGGAAGCAGCATAGCATTAATGCAAATGAGCTCAATGGTTTCATTTATATGCAGAACTTTTTAAAATACTGCTCCAACAACTCTTCCCAAACCTGTGTATGCATAAATTATGCCTGTGCCATTTCTAATTTGGATGGGATGTAGAATCCTGGTTTTGCTAGTACAGAATCTGGGTGACCTCCATGCAGATTTCATTCACTTCATATCTGCCTTTGTCCCAGACGTCCCAGACCTGAGGTGGACAACAACAGCGTCAAAACAATATGAAATGACTTAACAGAGCAAATACTCGTGCAACACATTAAAAACAAAACTGAAAACAACTTGTGCCAACTAGCAGGGTATTTCCCCTTTGCCCACGCTGCCCCAGAAGCTCCCCGGAGCAGCTCTGTTTTGCATCCTCGCCGGAAAGCCAGAATGTACATAGTCCTGGGCAATGCTCCCTCTAAGCTATGGAGTCTTGTGAGCAAAAATTCTACTTTGTGAGCTACTGGCATTAAAGTTGTGAGCGAGCAATTTGGCTACTGCATGAATTAGTTTGCTCTGGAGCCATTATTCCTGAGCTAAGTCAAAAATGTGTGAGCCGGAGGCTAAAAAACTGTGAGCTAGGTCACACTGACTCAGCTGAGAGGGAACACTGGTCCTGGGCCAGAAGAACCTCCTCCTCCCCACCACACCTGCCCTGGAGGTCCCTTTCAGAGGCAAATAATTCTTTGCTAACCTGAGACGCCTTCTGTGCTCCCAAGACTTGCTGTACGCTGTTTTGCCTTCTGGTTAGGCCTCCCTTACACAAGCTGGCCACCCTTCAGACACTTTCCCCACACAAGGAAGAAGGCTGCAAAAATCTTTCTCTCTCTTTCTCCACTCCCCCTTCACCTGGGCAGGTGGCAAAAATGAGCACCAGCGACAAGGAGCGGACTCCCCAGTTGCTCTTTGTGAAAGCCTTGGCCAGCAGGGGGCGCCTGGAGGCCATCACACAGCAGATGGGCTACCACCCGCAATACCTGGACAGCTTCCTCCGGATGCAACACTACCTGCTGCACATGGATGGCCCCTTGCCCTTTGACTGCCGCCACTACATTGCAATCATGGTGAGTGCCAGGATTTTCAAGAGCTGAACCAAAGCCAGTTCATCCACTGGGAGGGCAGCTAGCCCCCCACCCCTGAGCTATGTGCATGCTACTGTTTTCCTTTTGCTTGCTGCAAGCGTTGTCCATCTTCCTCTGTTGCCATTTGGAAAGCTGTTCTGAATCCAGACCTCTTAGGCGGGCAAAGATTCTAAGGCATGGGCCAGTAGAGGGCGTCACAGTTCCTGTGTAACTGGGACATGCATGCCGCCTCCCTTTTGGTCACCTCAGAAAGGGGTCCACTAGGGATATTCCTCTATCTTCCAAGCAGTGATAACATTTTTAAAAAATTTACTTCACTTTTACCCCATTTATTTTCACAATGGGGACACAAAGGGGGTTACACTGTTCTCTTCTCCACCACTTTGGCGTCACAACAACCCTCTGAGGTAGGTTAGGTGGACTGTGTGTGACAGGCCCATGGTCACTCCGCATGTTTCCGCGGCAGAGTGGGGATTTGAACCTGGGTCTCCCAGGTCCAACACTCTGACTGCTACACCACAAAGAGGAGAGGGCAGCTGAGAGAGAAGTTGCTGAGCTGGCCTGCATGGGAAGGGTGGATGAGACTATCCTGGGCAAAGATGCTCGTTCAGGATGTTTTTCCTCTTTGGTCACGGGCCTGTTGGGCCTCACCGCTCTCTTGCAGGCAGCTGCCCGGCACCGGTGTCGGTATCTGGTGAATCTACACGTGCTGCAGTTCCTGCGGGTTGGCGGTGACCCTCAGTGGCTGAGGGGGCTGGATTGCATCCCCCCCAAACTCCGCAAGCTCAGCGAGATTAACAAGATCTTGGCACACCGGCCGTGGCTCGTCGGAAAGGAACACATAGAGGTAATGGCCATGAGCCGAGCAGGAAGAAACTGGCAAAAACCGGGGGGGGGGGGGGGGAAGCACACCCTTCCTCCATCCTGTTAGGCTACCTGGACTGTGGGTTCGGTTGTGAGCTCAAAGGTGGCTTCTACAACCACCCCTACCACTTAGGCAGATTTTGAGTAGGAGCCTTGGAATACCTAGACAAAATCTACTATATAAAATGCTGAGTTAACAGGTGTAGAGTCTGCCATAATATGTTCTGTCAGCTTTGCAGTTTTCCAGCACCTTTGCTGAGGGGGTGGGCAGAGGGACGATGCTTTTTTTTTGCTCAGTGCTGCAACATGCAAGTTTTGTCTAAGTGCAGAATCTGGAGTGGTCTGGTGGTGGAGCTCAGCGCTCGTATCTTTCCTGTGTCTTTTTGTAGAAGCTGCTGAAGATCAGCGAACAGAGCTGGTCCCTGGCAGAGCTGGTCCACGCGGTCGTGCTTCTAGCTCACTACCACGCGCTGGCCAGCTTCGCTTTTGGCTGTGGCTGTGAACAAGACATGTGTCCAGAGGGAAGGGGCGTGCTGAAGCTCACTGTCCCAGGGAGCCTCTGCTTCTGCGAAGTGGGCAACGGCTGCAGCCAGGATCTGCTGCATCTCAACCGCAAGCGGGTCCGTCAGTTTGGAGAAACGTTTTGGGGGTCGGGGAAGGGGAGGAGCTGCGGGCTTGATTGACAGTCTGTGTCAGGCTGTGGGATGCGATGGTCCCCTTGGGCTGCATGACAATGGCTAGAGGGGAAGGGGGGAGAGCCCTCCCCAGGCTCCTAAATGAATGGTGCTTCGTCCCTTTCTCTGTCCTCCAGTCGCTGGATTCGTGTGTGGAGCTCGAGTCTCTACGAGAGCGCATTCACAGGCTGCAGGTGGAGAGCGAGACCCGGGAAGAGATGAGGCTGCCTGAGAGGGATGAAGGTAATGCCTCAGGAGGTCTTTGGGGCTAGAGATGTAAAAAATTCTGGAAGTTTTGAAGCCCGCCTCCACAATTTTATTTTATTTTTGGTGTATATATTGAATACTTTCCTATCAAACCTAACCATATTTTTTAATGCTTTAACAACTTAATTTTTTTAAAGCTTTTAATACTTAGTATATAATAATACTTAGTATATAAAATTGTACTAATTGGTGTATTTATTGAACTTAAAAGTATAAAAGTCTTGTTTATTTCTACGAGCAAAATTGCAAATACATGTAATACAAGAATAACTGTCACATCCTGTGCTACCTTTTTGCCGTCTTAGTAGTAGGGAATCCCCCCCCCCCCGGGTTGTCCCATTTTATTTGAGGCTGCAGGGTATGAACAGCCATGCTTTGTGGGTGTGTTGCAAGCAAATGCACAAATGCGGCAGTGTGTCTTTCTCCTTTCTCACATGCCTTTTGGTTGTGTGTCTTCTAGGTTTGGACGGGGAAATCTTGGGCCCTGCAGATCTCTCCTGCTATGTTCAGGACCCTGACTTTGGATACCAGGACTTTGCTCAGCGTGATGAGAACCAGACGCAGATATTCCGTGTCCAGGTGGGTTTTGCTGCTGTTGCCTGCTTGGGAGGGTCTTGCATGGCCACAATATGATTGGGGGGAACAGATGAGGCTGAATCTGGCCTTCCCTGGACCTTTCTTCCTCCTCCTCCTCGCTGCACTGGAGGCTGCTTGTTCCAACCTAGCCTTCCCCTTCTTTGACCTACTTCTCCCTACATTCCTTTCTTCGCAGGATTACTCCTGGGAAGATCATGGCTTCTCTCTGGTGAACAGGCTGTACTCGGACATAGGGTATCTGCTAGATGAGAAGTTCCGGAAAGTCGATGGCCTCCAGAGCTGTGCAATGGCCAAGCGGCAGGGCTGCGATCATGCCACGTTCAAGCGTGGGATTTGGAACTACATCCACTGCATGTTTGGCATCAGGTACGTGGCTCTCTGTCTTCTGAGGCCAATGTTTTACAGTTGGCTGGGGAGACAGATTTAGCTCTCTAGAATTTCTGTATGAGTCGCCAACTTGCAAAGTTGGAAAAAGGGTCCCTCACACCTGTCTAGTCGTAAAGAGCTGCACGCCCACTGTCACTACTGCCCTGCCAGTCCATGAAATACAGATCTACGGAGCTGATGATGAGCGGTGTGACAGTAACAGTGGCTGACTCAAGAAAGCAAGTCAGTCTGTGAGCAGGGAAAGGCAAAGGGTAAACTTGCTCTTCCCCCCATCCCCACCCCACTCATCCGAGTCTCTGCTGCACACAATGGGTGTGTGTGTTAAGAGCTTGTCTGTATGCCTTGGCTGTGGAGGGACAGCCAGGCACCTTGCAGAGATGAGATATATGGAATTCTCTCTTTTGCTTAACTCAAGGGAACACCGTTCATTGGCTGCCTGAACTCTGGTTGAAGAAGAGGCATGCAATATACCTGCACTGTCCCAGCATTTCAGAGTCTAGTTTGTAGCCAGAGTATATATGCATACATGTGCCTTTTTTTAAAAAAAGAAAGGGTGAGTGCGGGCTTCATTTCCCTGTCACTCACTCTGCAGGTACGATGATTATGACTATGCAGAAGTGAATCATCTCCTGGAGCGCATCCTCAAGCTCTACATAAAAACTGTGACCTGCTCCCCAGAGAAGATGAATCCTGAGATGTTTGAACGCTTCTGGAAACAGTTCAAGCACAGTGAAAAGGTGCGTGTGTGTGTGGGGGGGATTTGTGGTGGACAGAGGCCTGGGGCAAGTAGCATGCGTGGCATGATTTGCACCTGGGTGGCTTCCAAAATATGGATATGTTCCTTGCATAGGTGCTGGAGCAGCACCAGCAAGGCAGCATCCACACCCGGACAGTTTGGTCCAGCTTGGCCATGCCTCTTCCGTCAGCTGCTGCAAGCAGAATTAATAGTGGGTCTGCACAGCACTTGTTATAGCAACCTATGTTCCTCTCTGGAAACAACAACATCCAGCAATTCCAGGTCTCGTGGGTGTAAAGCCCATGTTTACACCGTTTACTATGTAAATGTTCATTCAGAAGTGCCATTCAGCTAAGGTTCTATTCCTCCCTGCAACTGTCCCTTCAAATTTTGCTCCTCTGCTTCACTGCCACTTAACTAGTTTCTGTTCTCCCACAAGTGGCTGCAGCAAATCCTGAATCTGTCCTTAATTAAAAATCACTTGATAATGACCGGTTCTTGGTTAGGCGGGTTGGGTGGGTGTACTAATTCTCTTTGCAGTCTCTTGGCTGCTAAGCATTTTCTCTCCTTAACTATAACAGGTAAAGTTCAATTCAGGAATGCTGCAGTTACTACAAGCAAATGGGAACTAAGGAGGGAAGGAGCTGTAAATCAGAGGAGCAAAATTTCATCCGCAGTTACCTTGGCTGCAAAGAGAAAAGCAGTAATTAACCATCCCTCTCCTAAAACAGGAATTGATAAGTATTTATTTGAGAATGCTGTGGCCACACTGAGTGAATAGGAGCTCTAGTTAGGTTAGGTGAGTGTGAGAGACAGAGGCGAATAAGCTGGTGTCAGCAGGACACAGCTCTGTTGCAGCGACTGAAGAGTGCCTCTTGGCTAGCTGGTCTTGTGCATGCAGAGCCATGCTAGGAGAAGCAGAATGCCAGGCTTTGGCCAGCGTGTTCTAAAGCAGGGTCGTAGGCAGGAAGCGGTCCTCTCAGAGAACTGCACATCTGGTATCCATCCGTTTACAGGGCATACAGGCTTACTTTTAACTACTAAGCATGCAGGACTTGAATGCCCATCATCCCCTGGCCTGCTTTGTTCGTCTGTCCCCCCCCCCCCGCAAGAAATTCTGCCATCTGTGGCTCTCACTATGCTGCTTAGCAAAGACTTTAATCCATAAGCTTTTTTTCTTAAGAGGTTGGCTTCATTTTAAAGACCTTGGGCCGGAGTGGGGGAATTGGTGTCCATAATTATTTTCTTTTTTCCTTTAAATATTTTTAGCCTGGTCTCCCCCCCCCCACCTGAACAAAGTGGGCTTCAAAGTGCCTCTGGGTTTGAGGATTTTGGAGATACATGGGGGTCAGTACTATTTTGCCTTTCCTGACCAAAATACCACACTTAGATCATAGTCCTTGAAATTCTCCACGTGCTGTGATATCTTGTTTCAGAACAGTACACCAGAGGAAGGGGATCTTATTTAGTTGTACCCCACTTTTCTCCCCTCAAAAGGGCTTGCAACATTGTTCTTCCTTCCTCCATTTTGTCCTTAGAACAACAACCCTGTGAGGCAGGATGGGCTGAGAGAGAATGACTGATCCATGGACACCCCGTGAGCTTCCACAGCGGAGTGGGAATTGGCACCTGGGTCTCCCAGATCTTAGTACAGAAGTCCAACCAGCACAGAACCCTGTCTAAAGGGCTTTTAGGAAGTTGCTGAAGCCTAGGTCTTGGTGCCTATTCATTACTGTCCAATTGCAGTTGGGTGAAGCAGGATAGACTCCTAGAGCAGGGCTGGTACTTGAAGATGTCATGTGTATGGATGAGTGTGTCTTCTCATAGATGGTCAGGAGGCTTCCACACTGGTGCCTTTGCCCAAGTCCGACTTCTGCCTCTCTTTCCTTCTTAGGTCCATATGAATCTTCTCATCCTGGAAGCCAGGCTTCAAGCAGAACTGCTGTATGCTCTTCGTGCGATCACTCACTACATGGTCTCCTAGAAGGGGTGCTGCTGGTGGGACCCCCTTTCGGGCTGAGAACTCGTGGACCACGGCATTCACCCACCATGTTTACTTGACAGCATTCCCTTCCCTTGTGGGGTGTGGGGAGACAGACCCCCCCCCCCTTTTCATGTGCAATTTCCAAACTGGGACTTTGGGGGAAAATAATTCAAAGGTTGTGTGCAAGGCATTTTGTGTCCAGTTTGGCAGTGTTGGACGTCGGGCTCCCCTCCCTGCTGTCCATCCCTGTGGGCAGCTTGGTCTGCCAAAGAGAGTGGCTGGCCACAAGTTGACTTCTCCCCCTCTCCTTCTCTCTGCGCAGGGCAAGGTAGCCAGTGCCACTTCTTCCATCCTTGATCCAGTTGCAGTAGCTCTGTCCGCTAAAACACCCGTTACAGTATTAGGTGGGCCTCTCCCTGCCTCCTCATGCCATTCTTGCCCCCTTCTTATTGTGCCAACTTGACCCACATTGGGAAAGGCTCAGCTTGCTCTTGGACACTCTCGCATTGGGTAAGGTGAGAGGGAAAGGTGGTATGCTTTCTGGCTTCTTGGAAAGGTACTGGTAGGGCTTCGTGAGACCTTCCTTCTTATTGGTCTCTCTCCTGGCCTAAAATAGGGTATTGTGTATGTTTGTGTATGGAGGAAGCATGTAGAACTCTTTGCTTGTGGGAGCTCCTGCTCCTCGCTCTGCAGTTTTCTTCCCTGGTTAGGTTCTTCCCACCTGTTCTCCTCACTAGCTGTTTTCCCTGGCCAAAGTCCCCCGCCTGCTCAGCACACACCCCTTTAACCCCTACACAGCCCATTTGTGTTTGAGCTGTAGTTGGAGGGCGCAGCTCCAGGCCCCGTTCTACCCTGATATCAACACATTCCCCTATCTGGCTTTTCTCTGTGGCTTCTCCAGACTTCCACGAGCCAGCAAAGGGACAGGGGGTGTCCAAGGGTTTGAATATGTGCCCCCAATGACATTTTTTCTTCTTCCAAGAGGTCTGTTGTGATGACATAAGCTACTTCTGTGATGGCTTCCTGTAATCTGTGCTCTCACTAGGAACTCTCTGCCAGCAGAGAACTGGGGGGAGTTTGGGGGGGGGGGAAGACTGGTGCTCTATTTTTAATGCTGGCATGTGCCACTCTGCAAGTCCAAGAGAATACTCCCCTGGCCGGCATGCTGCAGCGGCGACCCTTTTTGTGGGTAATTGTGCATGCACATCGCCTGGATCACAGCACAGAAGCTGCATCTCTTGGAAGGCTTGGGGTTGGGGGGTTGTAGGGACCCGGCAGAGGAATGCCTGAGGGTCACTGCGAAGTGGGGAGTGGGCTTGTCACACAGGGCATCAGCTAACCTGTTTACTGTGTAAATGTTTTTTTGGGGGGTGGGGGACAGAACACCGTATGGGGAAGAAAGTAAAAGCCTATTTTTGCTATAAATATAACTGTTTGACACGGAGCCAGCTCAGTCTTGTCTATCTCTGGCCGTTGTGCCTACAGCTTGGTCAACTGGAATGCAATGGTGGTGGTGGTGGTGAAGGTCTGGGCAAAGCTGATGGCAATGTGACCCCCCTCCCCCAATGTTCTGTGTCGCAAAAGAGATCCTTGAACAAAGACATCAGAATATAGCCCATCCCTGGTATGCTGTTCAGCTAAGCAGGGCCCAGCCCCAGTGGAAGACCTATCTAAGGACCCAACACAGAGCAGGATGCAAGTGTCATTCCTGCCTAGTGTTTTGTGGTAGCTTGATCACCTTTCCACTGGTGGGCTCCAGTGCACTCATTAGGAACAACGAAGAAAGTATGTTGCCTTATTTCTTTGATACTGACTGCAGCATTGAATGAAAGATGTTCTTCCTTCGCTGTCTCTTAAACTTGATAGAGGTTTCACTAGCTAAAGTTCTTCCTCTAAAAAAACACTTGCTCCTCCCGCCAATGAGGAAAGGGATACATATGGTAGGGGGTTTGATGTCCTAGGACAAGATAACCTCACATTCTGGGTAGGGATTAGAACGCTTTGTTTATCTGAAATGTTTCTGTCACCTTTCCACCCAGTTCCGGGTTCCCAAGGAGGAAAACATTTAAGGCATTTAAAAGCACTTAAAATACAGATATATAGAAATATTTAAAACAAACACAAAAGCAGGGAAAAGGGCTAGTTACAGTTAGTAAGGGAACAGCAAACAGAAGAAAGAAGTATTTTCTGCTGGTGGAATACAATGATAGGAGGGGGTCGATCTTGCTGTGGAGGGCATTCCAGAGTTTTGGTGCCATGACAGAAAAGGCCCTTTCTCAGGGTGCCACCCCTCCAGCCTCAAATGACAGAGGCACCGGAAGCAGGTCTCAGTGGAGAGGTAAGTGCATATAGGAGTACATGGTCCTTTGGATGTCCTGGCACTGAGACGTATAGGGCCTTGAAGGTCAATACTAGCACCGTGAATAGGGCTCAGAAGCAAACTGGAAGCCAGTGTAAACGGAACGAGACTGGAGTGTTATGATTGCTATGATCCACTGCAGTCAGCATTCGGTACCAACTGTAGCTTCTGGATAGTCTTCAAGGACAGCCCCACCTAGAACACATTGTTGCATTCTAAACCAGGTGTTTCCAGGGTCTGCACTGCAGTAGCGGTATCTTTTCCTGCACAGGAATGTCCACAGCTCTCTCACCACTTAAAGCTGATGGAAGGTGTCTCTGACCACTGCTGCCACCTGTTTATCCAATAGCAAGCCCTGGTAACACCCCCAAGCTACAAATCTACTCCTGTGGGGTAGCGCAACCCCATCCATAACAGGAAATATTCCAGTTCCTGGGACAGATTGTCCACCCCACCAGCAGCTCCTCTGTTTTGTCATGATTAATTTTCTCATCCATCCTACAGCCTTTTTGGGACCGTCTGGAAGCATGACATAGAGCTGAGTGTCAACTGTGTATTGGTGGCAACTTAGCTCAGAGAACTATAACTGTGGATGACCTCTCCCAGTGGCTTCACATAGATGTTAAAAAACACAGGGGACAAGATGGGAACCTTGTGGGACTGTAGGCCAAGGGACCAAGCAGCAGTCCTGCAACACCATGCTCTGAAACTTATCTGTGAGGTAGAACTAAAATGACCACAAAATGGTGTGTCTCAGTGCCAACCCCAAAAGGTCCAGAAGGACACCATGATTGACAGTAGTGAAAGACTCTGAGAGACCCAGAAGAATCAACAGAGTTGCATTCCCTCTGTCTGTCTATCTGGTAGGGCAACAGGCCTGAAACCAGACTGGAATGAATGCAAACAATCTGCCTCAGTCTGAAATCCCAACCAAAATTGCCACCACTCACTCTGTCTCACAAGATTCTCCCCTAAAAAAACACCCATCAAATTTAGTGCCTAAGGTTTTGTTGGCAAACCTGGGAAACGTCTAGAGCCAAAAAAGCCTCTGTTTGCTTGATGTTATCAGCTGCCCTGTAGAACAGAGGCAGCTGCCAACTAAATGGTGGGGTCTGACAGTAGGTTCTCCTGGCCTTTCTTTGTCAGCTTGAAGAAGAAAATGTCACTGATGTTATTGCAAATATGCCTTGGGACTGAAGTAATGCACAAGAGGGCTCTGCTAGCTATGTTTTAGTGTGTCCAATTAGGCCATGAATTGGGGGGGCTATTTTCTCCCCACTACAGCAGAGACTTAAAAATGTATTTAGAAAGTGAACTTAAAGTGTTCACTGCTCTGTGACACCAAATACTGACTTTGCTTTGCCTTTTAGAAATTAAAAGCCTAAAAACGCCCTTGGGTCACACCAAGAATCATTCTAGTCCTGCCTCCTGTTTCCAGCTGGGGACAGCCTCCAGGAGGCCTAAATGCAGCACATAAATCCAGCGGCTCTCCTTTGCCATTAAGTCCACCAAGATACAGCAGTCAGAGCTGTTCTGCTCTGGCAACCATGTTTAAAAGCCAAACAAACACTGGTCAACTATTATTTGAAAACCACGTAAGCTGGAGACCATCATGATGTCTTGGAAAGCAGTTCATTCCATACATTAATTGTGGGAGTTACGCAAAGAAACATTTCTGACTTAAATCTTATCTACCTGCTGCCTGTTCCTGTCAGTGGCCTTGTGTTCTTGGAGGGGAAAGAAAAATGTCATTCTGTTTACTACTTTAATAATTTTATAAAGCTCAATTGTACACCCCCTAAAAACCTCACACAAGTCCTCTGAGGAAAACTTGAATGAACTAGGTATATTTAATCTGGAGAAGACAGTCGAGAGGAGATGTGTGGAAGCTCTTTAAATACCTGAAGGGGAACCATTGTGGAAGATGGCAAAGACAGCTGCTGTCCCAGAGGGCAAGATAAGATCAAATCGGCTTGTTACAGAAGAAGGAGTTGGTGAAAATTTATAACAGTAGTTTGACAGTGGAACCAATGGGGGGGCTTTCTCGCTGTGAAACTCTTCAAGAAGAAACTGGACAGCCATCTTTTGGAAATGCTCTGGCATAGGGTTTTGTGCCAGGGGAAGGTTTCTGGGTCTCATCTTTTCTTCCTGAGGCTCTGAATGCAATTTGGAAAGGTGTCTGACCCCATGACCCCTTCCTTCTCTCTCTCTCTTTGCAGGGGGTTTCATGTGGCTTTTCCTGGCTGGGGATGAGTGAAAGTGACAACAGGCTAAATGAAGTGAATATGCATTCTCTGCATGGCCAGTGTTTGCAACAGAACAGAATATTCATGTTCTCAAGTTCTAAGAGCTGCTTGACACACACCCCCACCCCCCCTCACAGGGATACTTATTTCAGGGAAGTTGCAAAAGACAGTGCAACACTGCCTGAGGTTTCAGAATGAACTGTAAAGAAATGCAATTTGTCCCTCCAAGTACAGATGCAAAGTCCATTGCAATGAAATACCTAAAAGTGTATTTTACCAGTAAAATATGCTTTCCAGAAACTCTGGGCACAAACAAGCTGTTTCTCAAATCCCTCTAATGTATGCCATTGCTCCCCCTCCCCGGTTATTTTTAATTTTCCTATTAAGCACCGGTCTAGCTACAATTCTAAACTTTATGCGTCTTCCTTTCCCACGTCAGCCCTCTCTTTGGTTTGCACACATAAGCAGGGAATAAAGTAGGTGCGCGCGGGCAGCCTCTGTGCAGTCTAGCAGACACCTAACATTTTAAAGGGGGTGGGGGGAGAAAGCACCATTTCCAATAGCGGAGCGCACAAACGGGGAATTTGAGGTAGTCAACGGGCAGACTGCAAAGGGCATTTTTGTATTTTCAGTTCCCGCCTTCCTCCGGAGAGGCACATCCTGGAGAAGGGCAAACACAGGGCGCGGTTCGGGAGTCAAGTTCGGCTCCAAGTTCCCCAGCCAGGCTCCGCCCTCCTCCAAAAGATGCTCCCCTCCGGCCTTTTTGCAACGCTGCAGGAGGGGTGCCAGAGAAGAGCTGCGCTCGCTTGGAGAGCTGTGCACTGTCGGGAGCGTTTTCCATAACCGGCCAAGGGGGCGTGAGAGGTCGGGGAGTCTCAGGTCTTTTTCTCGTATCCAGCCTCCTCCCCCCAACATTGCAGAGGAACAAACCGGCTCGGCTGCGTCTTGGACGAAGTGGTCGACTGCAGTTTAGGCTTTGGAAGGCCGCCTGCAAGGGTGCAATAAAAAGTTTGCTTCCTTCCAAAGAGTCGCGTTCCTCCTAGTCCGTATGCTGTCGGGGGGCAGGCGAGTGAGGGCCGAAGGCGGACTTGACGCTTCGTACTTCCGTCCTCTTGGCGCACCCCCGACTGGGCTGGCGAGCCGTACTGCGAGTCTCTCCCGCCCCGAGAGGCTGAGTCCGGCCCCTTCCCCATTGCCATCTCCGCCCTCCGGCCGGCCCGGCCCCTCCAAATGAGCACTGCTTGTTGGCCTCCCCGTCTGGGGGCTGGCGGCGCCCCGCCCGGGGCCATGATCAGCCGGAGAGGTAAGGGGGCACAGGGGAGCAGGCAGCGGGCTCGGGCAGCTCTCTTGTCGCTGCAGCCAACGGACGGTTCCTGGGCAGCTCTTCCACTTTGGCCGCGTGACGGGTTTGCTCCGGTCGAGTCAGGCGATTTCTTTTCCCTTGTCGGCCACAGGCATGTGTAGGTCGCTTGTTCCTCCCTCGCAGAGTTGAGCCGGGCTGCGCGACAAGAGGACATTCCGCCGGGACAGTTTAAAACTGAGTCGCTTATCACGCAGCCGTGGTCGGTAACTTCGCCCGTCCCGTCTTGGGCCTTGCCCTGCCCCCCGCCCCTCGCCACGGCCCGGGACCCCCTGCGCTGTGCAATTCAACCGGCGCAGCATCGCCTGCTTGGAGTGACGCGGATGCGCTCTACCGTTAACCCTTTCTCTCCCGCTCCGTGGTTGTCAGTGTCCCTCCTTGCTGCGGTAGTCTTTGCAGGGACAAGGTAGCTCCGGGCAGGCGAAGGAGCTCCCTCCCCTCTTCTAACTGTTCCTTTTCCACCGGTACTAGG